AGTTTCCTGCTCCCATCGTTTCACTAGCAGTTCACGTAAATCGTCAACAAAAGCAGAGCCACCGAATTTGAAGAGGGCTGGAGGAAGATCACCTGGTCCCGCGGCTTTGTTCAACTTCAACAGTTCAATCTCACGTTCGACTTCTGAGCGAGTGCATCCAAAGGGACAGCCCAGAGAGCAGGGCGATCAGTGACCGGCGAGGAATCGAACAATTCTTGCCGATTAAATTGCTTTTCAAAATGCTCAGCCCAACGCTCCAGACGTTTTGAGAAATTGTGGATAGGCTGTCCACTCTCGTCACGTATAGTTTCACCAACACCAGGTCTCCTGCTGCCCGTTTCCCGTATCAGACGGAATAACTTGCGATGGTTACCAAGGGCAGCGGCCATTTAAATCTCTGAAGCACGATGAGACCACCAGGATTCGCGGTCCTTCTCCAGGCTAGCACGGAGTTTTGCCCGAAGCTCTTTGCGAGTTTCATTGTGTTCGCATCCAGCGGGATATGCCGGCGAGCATTCGATAAGTTCGAGACCGCGAAGAGACCCAATATCCATGTTGGCGATTAGACTTACCACATGAGGATTTGCCTGCTGCTAGTAAGGTCTGGTGAACATGTGACCAGTGACCATCAATTGTCTCCAGTGAGCGCTTACTCGACTCGCATATCAGCGTACTTCGATACGCATTCAGAACAGCTGGCTTTGTCACTTGGCTGGTGTCAATGCGCTCACAGAGGCGTCGTGGGCATCAGCCAAGCGCATCCGCATGTCAGCACATACAAGTGCATGGTCGGTGTCCACACATGTGCTCCAAATGGAGCGACAGTTCTGGATGCAACCTCTCTAGCGGTAACTGATTGCAATGTGATCGATTTGCGTCCATAGCTGGTTCGAGGCTGGTGGGCGCCAAGTCACCCTCCGGCGGGTGCTGTGTCGGAAATTAGTGCTCGCAAGAAATAAGCGAGCATCTTCACACAAATGAAGTAACTGCTCACCGTTATCATTACGGGAGCCTACACCGTGCTGACCGCCCAGATGCATTTCATCAGTAGACAACTTTCCAACTTGTGCGTTCAGATCCACCGTCAGCACAACAGTGTCCGTGCTTCTTCTGTGGCGAAGGAGCTGAGTCAGTTGACGGTAGAAGTCGTTCTTTACCGAATCATCGCTAAAGTTTGTGGGCGCGTAGGCACCGATGGTGAATAGACACCTGTTTGTCCCGCACGACTTCGAAGCTTTGAACGAGCCATCCAATCGGAGTGCACACATCCGGCTACTGATTGGAATCCAATCAACCAGAGCAGCTTCAGCGCGGGGACTCAGGGCAATGCCAACACCAACTTGGCCGGTGCTCGAAGCTGAATCGTCACCGGATAGGCGCAACCAGAAAATACTGCTTTCGTCACCTGAGGGGAATGGCAGAGTGAGCACAGAGCTCGAGTCTTGCAGGCGGGTCTCCGATAAGCAGCAGATCTCGGTCGAGAGGATCTCTAATATTCGGGCAAGTGCTGCCTGTTGACCGATCTGTAGTAATGTGCGTACATTGAGGCATGCCAATCTGAAGGAGGATCGAGGGCTCCAAATGGAAGCCGATGAACTGGAATGGACCACTCGGTTTTACATGGGCTTGTGGACAGGAGAGGAGTGACGCTCCGCGTTAGCATGTGAGTTAAAATTAGAAGATAAACGCCTAGCAAAGCATGTTAGGGGAGGGTTAAGTATTGGGGGTTGAAAATTGGGGGGATAAAAGTGAAGTTGGAACAGGACCATAAGAGAGAAAAAGGGTAAGAGGAGGAATAAGAAGACGGGAAGGCTTGAGCAGTAACATCCAAAACCCTATCCATCCTGCTCGATGCAGCAGATAGGGCACCGTTGATTAACCTCTGCGGTGGCCAGAGCATCAGAAATTTGTTTGTAGAGAGATTCGTTATAGAGTAAATACAGTATTTCGATGCTGTCCTTTCCCTGGCTGGCCATCGTTAACTGGACTGTAACATCAGTTACATCCCATTGGTTTGTGCTCGTTCGCCAAACTGGCTGATCCACGCTTACAGAGCTCATTGTTACACTGGGTCTCGCTGTTGTCGTCACGGATAGACTGCATGCTAACGTCTGATTGTCGGTTCGCTCATTTAGTCGATAATCCTACGATTTGCTATTTAACACAGCAGCCTGTGTTGCTATCATGACCTCCGACGCATGGTATTTACTCTTTGTACGGACGAGTAATCCGCTTTTCCGCTTGGCAACAGCGTGCTCCTTCCCTAATCAGCTGGACCGGTTTCTTTCCACGTGATCAGTTCTCATGAGTAACGTCTACTTGGTCCCTTGTCTATTCGGTTGATGCTCCCTCGGTTGACCAACTGCCACAGCTACGTGCGTTGCTCCAATGGTCTCAGGCGCATGCCATCCACTCCCCGTACGACCGAGCGATCCGTTTTTCCGCTTTCCGACGACTTGCTGTTTTCCATTTCGTCGGACCGGACCGCTCGTGCTTGCTCGGCTTTTGTCTGCTTGGCCCCCAGTTCATTGGTACCGCATCGAATGCATCCGCTCCTGTTCCCAGCCACCATGTTTCTGGCAATGTTCCGCTGACGATGTTGCCTTTGTGTTAACTGTACTTTCTTTGCTGAAATGGTGTTGACTTAAATTACCGTATTCCGTATTCATTCCCCTATGTATTATAGGACTGTCTATTGTTAAGCCAGAGGAAAACAGAAAAACGGAGTTGTGTACTAAGATGATTATTTGCGTAACAGTCAGTCTCAAAAATACCGCAACAGGACGTGCCACGCACTCGAGGTCACATGAACACAGAATCCAAATTATCAATCAATACTTACGGCAGACGGGCGCACGCGTTTAGCGTCCAGCCATGCACATCATTTGGGTTCACTGATCCACTCGTTAGGAGGCGCCCCTCCTAATATCCATGTCGCTTCCATCAGCGCTATAAGCAGCCGGTTAATGTGGTGCAAGACAACGGATGAGGCCTTGCAGCTTACTTGTGGTCCACTGTCCACTGTTGCATTTACGCGTTTCCGAAATCAGTGACAAGTACGAGGCCAACTTTGAGTCAGTTTGTCTTTCCGATCTAACGAGCTTATTTATTCTTTCCCATTGCAATCCAGTTGCATTTGCTTATCCATTGTTGTACACTACAGTGTCGAAACCCATGTGATTCTGTTTGACCAGCTCTAGCGAGACCTGTATTTCGGATTACCACAAAATCCGTGCACGTAACCAAACCGCCTATGACCTCCGCGAAACGGTCCTGTGATCCATCTAAATATTCTTATACCATTCCATTTGACTACCCCTGTATTTTTGTGGCCGTATAACGGATCGCAAGTCACTATGGAACACTTACCTGACTTCGGATCATGCGCTCATGTGTGTTAAGTTCGTTCTGCGTTTTGGAGACACCCAACAGCTTTGCCAGAAATGGTTTGACACAGACAATCTCGCCGTTCCAAATGTTCTCGTCCCATTTCAAAACACATTAGCCTCCAATCTACGTTCTCTATTCTCCGATGTTGAGACACACTGGGTACAGATCCAGAGCGCCTTAGGAAAGTCCGCTACCCCGGTCTGTGGCAACCCTAGACTTGCTGTTAACCATTGGATCTCCGCACAGTCTCTCCAATTAATGGAAAGTCGTCGAACAATTCCCGCCGCAAGTGAGTACAACGCACTACGCAGAACCATAGTTGCTGAGCTCATACAGCTCCTCATGAAGCATCGGGAGATTTTGTGGACACAGCGCGTCGTCGAGATGGAGCGGGCAGCCCCTTCAGGAAATTACCGCAAACTCCTTCAACTTATCCGCTCCACGGAGGGGCAGAAGACCAACACTGAGTGAGGTTTTGCGTGGAAATGACGGTGAACTAATTCACAGTCGTCACCGTCGTCGTTACGATGGGCAGAGCACTTTGAAGATCAATTCAACTGGCCAGTAGCGCACCCGCATCTATCTTCCGGGGTTCACAGTGCTCCCTGGTGCGTCGACGTTTCTCCACCGACAGAGTTTGAGGTTTCCAATGAGCTTCGGCTACTAAAGTGCCACAAGTCACCTGGCCCAGATGAACATCCTCCTGCCCTATTCAAATATGGAGGTCCAGCTCTCACTCGCGAACTGACATCTCTATTCCAACAGATTTGGACTACTGAAACCATTCCATCCGACTGGAATTTAGCGATGTTGCACCTGTTTACAAAAAAAGAGACCGGACCAAATGCTCCAACCATCGTGGCATCAGTTTCATTTGTGTTGCATCCAAACTGCTCGCTGCCCTATTCTTACGGAGGCTCAGTTGCGTACGGGAACAGCACCTGCGTGAACAACAAGCTGAATTTCGCCTGGGTCGTGGTTGCGTCGATCACAGATTTACGATCCGCCAGATACTTGAGCATCGCCATACGTTCAATCGACCAACCATAGTCATATTCTTGGATATTCGAACCGCTTTTGACTCTGTTGACTGAGTGGCTCTTTAGGACTGCTTACTGAAGAGGGGAGTGCCTGAGAAGTACATCAGCATTCTCCGTGCTATTTACCATCAAACTTCGGGCCGCGTGCGAGCATACGGAGAAATTTCGCCCCCCTTTCAGTATCACCAGCGGTGTTAGACAGGGTTGCCCAGCCTCTCCACTCTTGTTCAACTTCACTATGGACGAGATCCTGGATACTGCCCTGGATAACTCTGAGCCCGGCGATGTTGAACTGTCCCCTGGTGACCGCCTTCTGGACAAAGAATACGCCGATGACATCACTGTGATTTGCGAGTTCTTCCAAGTCGCCTAGGATGTGCTGCTCAGACTGGAGATGTCCGCCGTCCAATTTGGGTTGAGCTTTGCCCCTTCCAAATGTAACGTCCTATTACAGGACTGGCCAAGCGCATGTGCTTCTCTCACCATTTCGCGGCATCCTTTGGAAGTGGTCGACAAATTCATTTATCTTGAGAGTTGTCAGTATTGGCGGTTTAATAGCTGAGATCTCTCTGCGGGTCACCAAGGCTAGAGTTGCTTTCGCTAACCTTCGTCAACTGTGGCTTCGTCGTGATCTCAGCCTCACTCTCAAGGAGTGAGTCTACAATGCTACGGTACGAGCGATTCTGCTGTACGGCTGTGAGACTTGGCCCATTCGCAAAAATGATGTTCAGCGGCTATCAGCCTTCGATCACCACTGCCTGCGAAGCATTGCTGGTGTTCGATGACAGCACCACATCAGTAATGAGGAAATCCGTCGGTGAGTCTTCAGATCTAACGAACTCCGCCGATCGATTGATAGCATCCTCTCACTGCGGAGGTTTCGCTGGCTTGACCATGTGCTTCGCATGGCTACCCAGCAGCTACCACGATGAGCCCCATTTGCGAGCGCAGGCGTGGTTTGGAAGCGACGAAAAGGAGGGCAATGTAAAACTTGGATCCAATGTGTTAAAGGCGCAAATATTGAAACTGCCTGTTATCAGACCTTCCTGACTCCCGGGTAGGGGACCAAAGGACCCCAAGCAAACCTTGTTGCAACCGCTGGAGGATTTGGCCAAGGACCGTGCGTAATGGCACACTTGCTGTGAGACTGTTCTACCCTAACAGTTTTTCCCTTTCATGCTATCCATTTTTCTTCTTATATGTTGTGGCACAGCCAATTATATTGTAAATGTTATAGTGTTGAATATATATATATATATATATATATAGTGTCCGCCAGCCTACATACTGTAAGTGCACTTCCTAAATGTTCCGATAACTACACGTCTCCGTTGATCTTCTTGTCTTGCCGCCCATCCTGTCCCACGAGTCCGATAGCCTTGTGGCAAAGTACCACTAGTGCTGTGTTGGCAGTGTCTGAACATCTTCAGTCACATAGCGGATACTTCGAATAATTATTCGCCTACGAATTCATGTCCGTCAAGCGTCCCTGTGTTAAGCACAACAATGGAACACGGGTAATGAAGCTAACGCTTGACAAGTCCCGTAGGATTGCCTGTAGGAGATACATAACTTCAAAGGGAAATTATACGTTTGACAGCAAGGTAAACCGCTCAGCTGTGGACTCACTATCTACCCTAATTTCGTGTGGAGGAGAGGCTTGTGGGCACATTGGCTAAAGTGGGTAGGATGCGTTCTCACTGATGCTCCGAAGGGTGAACAAAGTGGATATTTGTTGAGTGTATGCGTTCCATGGAAATTAAAATTTCTTACAGTCTAATACTTCGATCGACTCTCTGCTACATTTGAACAACTGAAGCGCTTAGCGGAAAGTTTCGAATCGTTGAAAATGATCGAGCCAAGCATTTTTCCTTTTTGCTCGCATCAAGCTTTGGTAGTTTACTTTATCGGACAACACATGCTTCATCTTGCGCAGTGGCTTTGAACGGTTTATCTTTCGCCCAGACGCCTAATGCTGAACTAGAGTGTAACACATTCTGATACCTCGTCACTCTATACTCTTTATGCGGGTTTACCGAGTTACCTGCTGGGCACTGACCGCTGCTCGCCACCGTTTGTGCCAGTCAACTACTGATGGATTGCTTGTTGGCCAGTTTACGTCTTGCTAACATCGCATGACCTAAATCACATTGGTGTGTTCTGTCTATCATCTTCTAGATTAGGTCAAACATCGCACTGCGAGAGCGCGTTTTGGAAATGTGTCCTCAAATATGAGGTCGCACCTGTTTCAACTGGGCCAAAACAGGTGTGCTACAGTTGGAAATGTGTTAGTTTTTTACAGTGCTTTCTAGTCTTTGACGAACAGTACACAACATGTAAGGTGACTTCAAATCGAAAGCTCCAATAGACAACTGTGTCTAAACATCAGCTCCTCATGAAAACCGTCAAATCAGCCCATTAAATGCAATGATTGACTTCTGTGGGTAAGTCACGGAACACATTCAGTTCATAAAGTACACTCTGAAGCTTGTGAATATACTAACGGGTACCACGAACAAAAATGTACAACCGAGGAACGGAACACAATAAACGAAGGAAAACATAACTTCTTTGGCTGATAAGCCAGTCTGCATCAAAATGTGCATCAAATAAATGTGGCGCCAGGCGGTATATCCAAATCAGCAGTTATAACACCTTTTAGACATTCAGAGTTCCTCTTATTGCCTTTCAGCCTTAGCAACGCTGTTTAAACATTTCAGATTTTCTTTCATTAGATAACACGTGAACCTGAAGGTATTTATCCTAACTTGGTTGACATACCGCCAGCTTTTCTGATGAGAAATATCTACGTCACCTTAAAGCTCTTATTCAACGGCTGATGCAACATGAGTTAACATCAACCCTGACAAATGGGAAATTGTCCAGTGCACCATCGAATTGCTTGACCAAATGATAACCGCTGATGTGACCGAAGCGCTGCCAGAAGCAATCCCAATATTAAATGACGACACCGCTCCCAGCCCCTTCAAACAGCTTCGCTGATTCCTTGGATACCTATAGGTTCCTTTGAAATGTTTGTAACCTTCTGAATCGCGCTAGCGCAAATTCGGAAGCGAGCTATTCGCGATCCACCTAAGTTTTCGGCAAGTTCGTCATTACCTCAAAGATAGACATTTTACAATTTGCATCGATCACAGGTTATTGGTCTTCGCAATAATTGGCGAAACAATAAAATATTCCCTCAGAGAAACTAAACATCTGGACTACGTCTCTCAATACACGACAGACGTACGGCATATCATGGGCGCTCTTAATCCAGTCACGGACGCTCTATCACGCATGTATCAGATCACCTTAGCACCGGAAAGCAACATCGGCCTATCGACCGTGGCTGCGGCCTAACAAGCTGATCTCGACATAGGCAAACTACGAAGTAACACCACCCTGAAACTACGCAAACAGTAGAACAATGGTTTTACACGGATAACAAGGCTAAAGCCTAACGCGTCCCGTTGGATGGTCACGGTGAATATTGTAACATAGAGAAAAATTCTCAACAAAATTTGGTTCGCACCGGTAGGCTCACTGCAGTATAGTTGCCGGCATCCGTATCCTGATTTGCCTGTCACTGGGGTTGCCATAAGACAACCACAGGACACCTGCGCCTATTAAGCGACCATGGGTGGCTTGCGCTGCACCACCCACAGCTCCATCCACACACCCCATATCCAGTGTAAACCCGGGAGGTATGTGGATGAGAGCCACGTTTCATCAACGGAGCTGGCCCACACTCCTTCACATGCACACACAAGCACGCTGTATTTGGGGAACCAAGCGCACACAAAGCGATGGCTCGACCGTAGTCCGCTCCACACTGAGTGCATGGAAGCACTCCTCGAGCCTATCACAGCCATAAGGATAGTGCACCCAGTCCCCTCCAGCAACGACCAGCTGTCTCCTAGAGCCAGTATGGATGAGGTAGTGGGTAATAGACAGGTAGGCACCTTATCAACATGCACATCAAGTGCAACCACACCGGAGATTTCAAGCAACAGCCAACCAATTAAAACGAGGAAATCAAATAAGACGCATGGAATACAGCATCCAGATATTGTGACAAAACCCTTCACTAAGTGAGCATATGAAAGAAATTGGTTGCCAAAAATAATCCGCTATAGGTCTAAGACGTCAGAAAATATATTTTAAGAAAACGCCACAAACGCGAAATATTATGGAAGTTAACTACAGGTAGCTTAAACGACGTGTGCAAGTTAATATAAGATAGTTCAGGTAGACGGTAATATGAGATTTTTAAAAAGCATTAGTAAAATATAGAAAACCTACCACCAGTAATAAAGAGATCCAGCATGCAAGCAAGTGTTCATTAAATCGAATGCAGCGTACCTACAAACGCTGCATCGGGTTCTGCCTACCTTCTCTGCAGAACTAGTC